CATGGAGCACTGGGTGTTATACGCAAACAATGAATCATGGAACACTACATCAAAAACTAATGATATAATGCATGGTGATTAACATAACATAATAAAATAAAATAAAAATAAAAAATATAAAAAAATAAAAAGGAAAAATTCCTAAGAGGAACCTTCCAACTTGGTGTGCTCTCCAGGACTTGTTGTCTCCATTTCTAGATCTTTTCTCCTTGTTCTCCTAAACTGGATACACAGTGCCGGGTGGGAGGGGTCTGGAGGGGATAGGAACAGTTGCAGTAAACATTAAGTTCAGCAGTAACTCTGAAGGTGAAAAGAAGTCAGTCCTCTGGGGAAGTCTGAAGGCATTTGGCTTTGCTTTAGTGATGGTGGGGCTAAAGAGGTGCTGGTGAGCTGACTGGAAAGAATCCCCAGTGTTAAAGCATCTCAGGGTTTTTCCTTCAAAGCAGCATCCTGAGTAGGGGTGGAAAAGGAAGGGTGAAGTGTGGTGTTTACAACCCTCCTTACCATGTAGATTAGGACTGCACTCATTCCCCTCCCCATTCATCAATATCTGCCACCACAGGATGGCATCATCCTCAAGTTAAAGAGGAAGAGATTATCTGTAGTGCTAGCATCTCATTACTTCAACGCCAGGCTTTCTTTGGCCCTGGCATCCTCCCCCAACTCCTGTCACAGGAGAAGGCAAAGTAGAAAATAGGAGAAGGCCAGGCACACAAGCCAGAGATCTAAAGTCACCTAGAGACTCAGTGACAGGACTGGGAAGAGAACTGAGCTCTGACCCAATGTTCTTCCCACTGCGGTATCCAATACCTATAGCATGCGGAGTGAGGATTTCAAAATTTAGATACCACACAGGTACATGCAAATATTTATTAAATTAAGAGACTGAAATATACCAAAATAACAAAAACTAAAGTAAAAAGCTTGAGTAGACCTCTGTGTTTTTTGTTTTTGTTTTTTAATCAGGCTGATTTATCTTCTTATGAGGCTGAGAAAACGCTAAGTTATTATGAAGAACGCCTATTATCTTTACGGATGAAGACTTGCGCGCAAGTTGTATCTCATAGGGGTACAGCAGCTCTGCACCAGAAGGCAGTGAAAGTAATTGCATACAAAAATGGAGATGGATATCGAAATGGGAAGTTAATTGTGGCTGGAACATTCCCCACAGTAAGTGGCTATCACTTAAACGTTTCTTGCATCCTCCGAGGTAATGATAATAGTGATTCTTCTGACAAGAAAAAAGCAGTGGGATTGAATGATAAATGTCCCTGGCCAGTTTCACCAATTCAAGCTGATGAGATCAAGATCTCTGTTTTCTTAAAGATATTCTTTTTTATTGTATTTCTTTGGATACAGGCTTAGAAAAATGAGAAACCAGAAACCAGGTTTTTAGATTGGCTTCAGAGCAAAGATACTTAAAAGCAGGGGGACACCAAGCTACCAGATTTTCTTCACTTGTATGATAGAGAGAATGCCCCCCCCCTTTTTGTCGCCTTCTTTCCCTTTCCAGCTTCAAGTTGTATGTCATCTGAATATTCTAAGAGATGCCACCTCATTTATCATTTGGAAAATCTGAGCACTTATTTGTTGACAGGTTGTTTCATTTCATTTTCAAATCGGAGAAGCAAGAGTCATGTTAGGAAGAAACATGTGGTTTCTGTCATAGAGCTCAAGAGGTTCAAACCCAGCTTTGTCCTTCCTTTTCTTGGTGACTCTCTTGTCTATACATTCTGGCCAGTGCCTTTAACAGCATATTTTATAAGCAACATTAAATATGATATGGACTTACCCTGGAGACGTCCTTGCAAACACACACATACACACCTACTCGTTTGCTCACCTTTTCAGTTGAATACAAATAGCCTTTTTATTAAGATATTGTTCAGTGAACTAAGCAAATCACAAAAGTTAGCAACTCCAAGATTCACCCTGAGCTCCATAACTGGCTTCTGTAGTCTTGGACAAAAATGTTACCCTTTCAGCCTGTTTTCCTTTCTGCAAAATGAAAGTAATAATATAGGTTAGTTTGGGTTTGAAAGTCAACTATTCATTTATTTTAAAGCAGTTCATCAATACAAAGTGTTACAGTTTTATACCTTATAAAGCAACAAAGTTGAAAGTGAATCTCTAAATTGAACACTTCTTAGGAAGTAAACACTGATGATAAAATGTATTAACATACATCAGCTGCTGTGTTAAATTTTTGGAGCTAATTTTCACAGTTTGAGTGGACTAATTTTGTGAGATTATGTAGGACAGTCTGATACCAAAAATTGTCTCTAATTAAAGATCAAGTCGGTAGTTATTTAGCTTTCTGTTTTTGCAAATTAATGGATTTTCTCAAATTTCTAAAATAATAAGCTCTTCACGATTATTCCCAGCCCTATCACTCTTTCGTCTCATTAGTTCCTTACAATCTGTGTTATTTAGCTTCTTACAGAATGCACGGAGCAACTTGGTCTCACCAGAGCAGCCTCCAAAGTATATACCAAAGATGGGACCACAATCCTTTCCTTACGTGATTTGGTTTTATGGGCGCTAGAGGAATCTTTCATCCAGAGAAACACTGAGGAACAAAAGAAAGAGGCAGTCCCTGTTCGAACAAAGGAGACAACTATTAAAAGTATGAAAGGTTGGTTACATTCTATAGGATTTAGCTGATTCTTATTTTTCATCATAAAAAATTTAAATGTGATTCTGTGACTCAATCACCCCTTTCTAGAATTATAGAATCACAGGAAGCTTCTCTCATGTGAGATTCTCGTATTGCTTTTACCTTGCAGAATGATAAGAAAAAGTTAACAAATAATGTAAATTTGGTCTCAGCACCAAAACAATAAAAAAATTGCCTCAAATTTATAAAATATGTTTGACAACTTAGCTACTTTATATAACATGAGCAGCTTTTGTTTTTAAATTTAAAACCAAAACCAACTGGAGACCACTTAAGAAGGTGGGGCTGGATCAATGCAAATCTCTTTCTATTATTTGAAGAGAGGATGTTGTCTATCCTCCTGCCCCTGCCCATTGCCACTGCCCCTCTAAACTCCCAGAAGCATCAGTGAAGGCCCCTGTATTGCAGCTCCCAGCACACTGTATTATAATTATCTGTTTACATCTTTGTGTGTCTCATCAAACTATGTACAAGTTGAGGCCAGGAACTCTGTCCCCAGCAACAGTTTGGGAAATAAGAATGAGTCTAACTCACAGTGATTCAGCGGAGTGATCTCAGATTTCCACTGTTGTACTGAGAGTCATGATTTGAAGATTAAGAACTTGGGTTTTGGAGCCAGAATACCAGGGTTCGGATCCTACCTCTGTTCCTTGCTAGCTGAATGATCTTGGGCAAGTTGTTTAACCTCTTGGACCTCAGTTTCCTCATTTTATGAATTGCACACTGATAGTCATGTAAATATATACTCATTTGGTCCTCATAAATATGAACATGTGTTCATAAAAACATATATGAATAGGAGTTTATATATAAATGTATATGTCACTTAGAGTAGTGCCTGGTTGATGTTTACTAAACATTCAATGAATATTAGCTATCATTATTGTGTGTACAGTTGAGTAGGAAAAACCCACTCTTCTTCCTGTGTATCTGTCCTTTACTCTCACACTCTTATCACATTCACAAGACTTCTGACACCTGATGTGTTTTTTTCCCCATACCAAGCAATTCTGTGACACCAGCTGGGTGTCCTGCAATTTAACTGAATTCTGCCACTATCTACCTGGTTATAGCTTCAGATCCCACAGGTTAAGAGCTCAGTCCCACAAGACTGCTATCCGATCCATCCCCCACTTCAGATGTCCCGACCTGTGTTTCTGACCAATTGGCTTAAATTGGAAATTCCCATGATTCCTTCTTTCAGTTCAATTAATTTGGTAGAGAAGCTCACAGAATTCAAGGAAACAGTCTACTTACTGTCTACTGGTTTATTATAAAAGGATATGATAAAGAATACTGATGAACATCCAGGTAGAAGAGATGAGTAGGGCAAGTTGTGTGAGAAGGAGCACATAACTTCTCTGCTCTCTCCAAGCCCACCACTCTCCTACCATCTCCATGCATTCACCAACTGAGAGGGTCTCCAAACCCTGTACTTTTGGGATTTGTATGGGATTTTATCATGTAGGCATGATTGTTCACTAATTCCATTTCCAGCCTCTCTCCCTTCTCTGGACAATGAAGTGTAGGATGGAAAACTCCAAGGTTCTAATCATGGCTTGGTCTTCCTGGTGACCAGCCTTCATCCAAGAGTCTGCCAAAAGTGCTCTTGTTAGAAAACAAGCTACTGCTATCATCCAGGAAATTCCAAAGGATTTAGGATCTGCGTGAGGAACCAGGATCAAAGACAAAATATTAGAACAAAAGATGCTCCTAGTGCTCTTATCACTTAGAAAATGACCAGAATTTTAGAAGCTTTCTTCCAGGAACTTAGGGCAGAGACCAATATATATATATATTTCTATTATTTCACAATGATATTACTTGTCCTGTTTTCTAATTAGTTTTTAAAAATAATTATGTCAGCATTTAATGCCTAGCTAATCATTAAAGCATATAGTTTGGTCTTTACTTGGCATATAGAATATCTGATCTCCAGGTTCTGGAAGATTACAATCTCAAAGGCCCTTCTTTCAAATTGTTATTTAAAACTTGACTGGAAGTAATGTTATTCATGCTGGAGTACTAAAAGTATATGGCCATCCCTTCCTCTCTATATTCTAGAGGTTATCCTTGAATCAGGCCGATCCATTAGTGGGTTGCCCCCTTTTACTGAATTGTGGCTTATGTTATGCCATCAATTTGCATTGAGGAACTTTAAAAAAACAGACACCAGTCAGAAACTGAGTATCATGTTTGCTATGGAGATGGCAGTTAAGGGCACAGGCTCTGGAGGCATATGGCCTGGGTTCTAATCCTGACTCTGCCGCTACCTAGCTATGTGATTAAGCCTCAGTTACTTTGTAAAAGAGGAATGGACCTACCTCAGAGTATCATTTTGAGACTTACCTGAAATAATGTATGCAGAACTCTTAGTGAAATACCCAGCATGTTGTTAAGTTCTCAATATTGTTCATTCCTATTATAGGATACTGTTTGCTACCTCACAAAAAAACCCTTTACGAGGACCCTGAAATAAATTTCTCTCAGATCTCAGGGCCAGGAAAGTTGTATCTTCTGAGGAATTTCTCTCTCTGTATGGGCCATGTGAATCTTGAAATTGTGTTTTCTTCTTTACTTGGGCCACTAGAATGCTTAGAACCCAAACTGTGCTTTAACTCTAGCAAATGAAAAGTGTGGCTTTCATGTCCGTTCAATAACAAAAATGTTATCTAGCATTTTTTGGATGCTCGTCCAATTAAATAGACCAAACACCATTTATTCTAAGCACTTCCTTTTTTTTTTCTATTAATCTTCCCAACAGCAGAATGAGATATCTAGTATCTATTATTCATTTAAAAGATAAGGACACTGAAGCATTTTATCCCTGGCTTTAGTCTATTGCTATACTTCTTTCCTCCTGTCCTTGGTTTTTTTATCTCTTTATTTTATTCCTCTTCAGAGTAGATATTTTAGTAAGCCATCTCAGATTTCTTTCATAACTAGTAAAGCATAAGAAAGGAATTTAAAAGTTTATTTACAATCAGATTAGTTTAAATTATTTGGTTGCATATGAAGTTTCTGATCATATTTATGTATTTGCATCTGGTTTATGTATTAACTGTTTAAATCAAGTCATTAATGAGAAATGAAATATTTTGAATAAACAAACTCAGGAGGCAAATTATTCATTATTAATCGTGTATTGATTAATGTGCCATTTGTTTCCTAGAAAACTCAAGAATGAAAGTGAAAACCAAATTGTTTCCAAAGTCTGTGACATCCGATAGTTTGGATGGTATAGATAAGTCTTTGCTCACTCTCATCCTCAGAAATCCCATTGCCATCTGGGTATCTTGTGGTGAACCATTTCTATCTCCGAAGGGTAAGTTTTTTGTTTTTACTTTCTTTCAAACAAGTGTATAAAGGAGAGAGAAATAAATTTTATGTCACCGTAAGAAAAGAATAAAATGTGTATAATGCCAACATAATAACATCACATTTGTGCAAAGAACAGGAGGTCCATCAGTTAATATGTGCACAAGGTTAGCTATACTCCTATATTTGCACAGTTGCCTGTTTTTTTTTTTTTTTACTGGAATGGAGTATTCTGCATGGAAAAGTGTCTAATTTAGTTGATAAAGAGATCCTTGGTCTATAAGACTGAGAATAATGGTATACATTAGAAAATAACAAATGAGTTTAATTCACACTGAAGACGACCTGTCTGCACATTTTCATTTTTAAGAATTGCACCCTTTAGGCAGTAGGTGGATGTTTAAAAAATGAATGGTTCCAAGCCAGGCTTTCATCACCTCCAAATAGTTTGTGGAAGTGGAAAATGAAATATGGCTATTGCATATGGTAAATCTATATAATAAAACAGCACTGTTCTTCTTCCCCCCCTTCTCCATTCCATAAAGAAATGCCTTAAGCCCTGTCATCTTTCAAATGAGGTTTTTTTTAATGACCTTTACCTTTTAATTACTTATTTCTAATTGAATCTATTTCTTGGAGCAGAAAGTTCTTTATAAATTATTGGCTTGCATGATAAATTACTGTTGATAACACAATGCAAGATAAAATATCATATATTTTTTCCAGCATTGCAGAAAGCCCAAAAATTAGAAAAACAGAAGTGGCTAAAAAAAGACAAAATTTTGGCTGATCTAGACACCATGAAACACAAAATGAGACTGTTAAAAGGTCAGTATGAACTAAATCAAGTATCACTATGTTTAATTCTAAATGTAACCCCAATTTGCTGGAAGTTTTTTCCTACTATTAGATACCAGATGTTCAACTGAGTACTATAAATACTGTGTCACAAAAGTCACTTGAGCAAGTCTAAAACCTAATAATATATCTTTCAGTACTGATTTTATATTTGTAACTTTTATATTAAAATGAATACCACATGAATTATATGTAAATTTTTAAAATTAGGAGAGTGTCTGGGTCATATAACCCTTATGCTGGAATTGAAACAGTTGCTGAACTAACATTTTGTGGGCTTTGGAATTAGTCCTTAAACAAAACTTTCGGTCTATTCCTTGGGTATGTTGGGGAAGAAGGTGGGGGGTTGTTTTTGTTTTGTTTTGTTTTGTTTAGATTTATTTATTTATTTGAGAGAGAGAGCATGCGCAAATGTTTATTTGAGAGAGAGAGAAAGTGAGGACGAGCTGAGCAGGGGCAAAGGGAGAGGGAGAAACAGACCTCCTACTGAGCAGGGTACCTGATGCTCCATCTCAGGACCCTGGGATCATGACCTGAGCTGAAGGCAGAAGCTTAACAGACTGAGCCACTCAGGCGCCCCTGTTTGTTTATTTTATAATCTGAGTGAGGAAGTACTGAATTTTTCAAAGTTCAATATTAATATCTCAGAAGGGCTTCTTCATGTTAGTCAGCATAAGATATGCTATTCATAGTCAAAGTGATCAATTGGCAATATTTGTTCTCCTCTTTCATTCTCTTTGTCACAGAATCTTAGGTTCCAGACCTTATACTATTCCTAGCACTTTAGATACCAGATGATTCTTTGGGGAGAAACAGAGTATTATGGACTTTAGTCTAGAAAGAAATACATTTCAGGCACTGTAATTGCCATGGCAGGATTTCAACTCCTAAGTATGCACACTGTCTGTTGTCAAAAGCATGTGAATTTTACTTCAATAAGCAACACAACTAGTTGTAAGTGCACTAGACAGAACTCTGGGCTGAAATGACTATTATTCATTTCTTTCCAAAAGAATTGTTGGGTGTACATGAAAAGCATCTATCATGACTGGTAGTGTCTACTATTCCAATTACTACACATTTTCACTAGAACGTCCCATGGGCATGTCCAAAACTAAAGTTTTCATATCACCACTCCAGTATCTCCTTCATTTCTTCTGGCAGTGGACCCATCATCCCCCCAGGTGTTCCATCTTAGAAACCTGAGAGTTATCCTTGGCATCTCCCCCTCTCTCACTTTCCCTAGGCAAATATCAGTATGTCTTGTTGCTTCCAATGTATCTTCTCAAATGAATTCAGTCTCCATCCCCAACTGTATTATCTAAATTCCAGTCAATGTCATCTATTCTTTGGATTACTAGAACAGCTTTGTGACTTGACTCCCTGCTTCCAGTCTTGACAGTAGTTTCTATTCTATGCATAATGGTGACATTCTGAAGGTGGAGTGATCAGGCAAAAATACAAAAGATATTATGGTACTCCAGGCATAAAACCTTTCAAATCTCCCTATTATCTTTAGGACAAAGATGGAACTCCTCAATGTGGTCTTTCATGATCTGGTTCTGTGTAAGCTGCTCTCTTTTCTTGTCCTCTCCACTCCACCAGTCAGACTGTTTTTCAGTCCCCGAGACATATTAGGTGCTTTCTTAACTCTGAGCTTTTGGCACAATTTAGTTTCCTCTGCTTCAAACTTTTCTCTCCTTGTCCTTTTGGATTGCTTCTACTGATTAAATAGTTTTCAGCTTACTTATTATTTCTTCCTAAAAGCCTTCCCTTTTCTATGTTAGGAATAATGTGGTTTATCACACCTTGAGCTTCCCCCATGATAATCGTTATTACATTAATATAATTACCTGGTCATGTGACTGTCTTTCCTATGTTACATTATAAATTCTACTACCTTCTTATTTGCACTGTGAATACTTGTAGAATGAATTAAAGAATGAATGGAATTTCAACCATTCTTTCCACTGAGTTTTCTATGGTCTATTCCTGTATCAAATTAAATCAATAAAAAGCAACATACTGAAAATAGCACCAAGCAGAGCTGCCTTTACCATATTCTGATTTTATATCATGTCTTCAGCTTTTATTATAATTAAGTATTAAAAAGGCATTTATTAAAAAAAAGCATTTAAAGTTCAGTTGGTATCATCTGCAATATCACTGTTGGTAGATGTCAGATGATGTCCATTATGAAGGAATGCATTAATGAAATTTCTCTTAGAATTTAGTGCTAAGATAAATCTTGTCTCCACTGACAAACTGTTGCATTTTCTGTTATTAAATGTAAATTCAATACATACATATAAAATACCTACTCTGAGGAAGAACTTTTCTAGTTGTTGGGATTATGAAGATAAATAAGAAGAAGTCAAAATTCAGTTAACTGCAATCCCTGTTGGATGATGAGCTTCTTGAGGACTGGATGAAAGAGGAGGTATGGGAGGTATAAATAGTGGCTAAGTAGATTATTTTCCATTATTATAGCCATTGGTGAATACAACAGATGTTTATTAAGCACATATAAAGTACTGTGCCAAGCTGATTTTACATTACATTTGTAAGTATGGTCACTGCTAATATTAATCACAATACTAGTAATAACTTTGTAGGGTTTTTATGAGGAAGTAACAAATGTCAAGTATTTACTTCATGCATAGCACATAATAAATACTCAATAAATATTAGAATAAGGGTTCCTAGGAAGGCAGCCCATTTTCTGACTTGGGGTCTTAAAAACTGATCAATGAAATGAAGAAATGGCAGATTAGGCCAAAATATCACTGTTGTTACATATAAAGACAATGCTGGAGTATTTTATTTAGTGTGAAAGCTAAATGGATTTGCCAACTAAAACCTCAAATGAGATGGACTTACCCTCCCAGGCATAGATAATGCTGAAACAGAGTGGGCCTCTGATCAAGGGAGGGGTGTGGGCGTGAGATTTATAGTTTGAAAGACAGCAAAGCACTCACGTTCTCTGGTTTTCCCCATTAATTGTTAGCTATTATCATTACTTTCCCCAGATCTCATATGAAATAAAATAGGATATATGGAGAATGTAATAAGAAAATAAAAATAATTTAATCAATACATTTGTGCTTGGTTTCAATTTGTATTCTTACCTACATGAATAGTTTGTTGTGAACATTTTTCCCCGAACCAAAACCTTTTGTGATGAATTTATGTCTCTTTAAGAAAATTATAGTGCAAATGCATTCATTTTTTTTTTTTAAGACCATTAGAAGCAAGTTGACAAAAAACGAATAATGCATTATGGCTTTTGCTCTTTTCCTACATTCAAATCTTGGCTCTTAAGAGTGTAAATGATAGGGCGCCTGGGTGGCTCAGTTGGTTAAGCGACTGCCTTCGGCTCAGGTCATGATCCTGGAGTCCCAGGATCGAGTCCCGCATCGGGCTCCCTGCTCGGCGGGGAGTCTGCTTCTCCCTCTGACCCTCCTCCCTCTCATGCTCTCTTGTCTCTCATTCTCTCTGTCTCAAATAAATAAATAAAATCTTAAAAAAAAAAAAAGTGTAAATGATAAACTATTGCTGAGCTCTCTTTAGTTGAGCAAAGTTTTAGTGTTCAAAAGGCCCTATAAATAAAATATTTATGTGTCATAAATTAATGTTTTCTGCACTTTATGAATAGAGTAGGCTAAAAACTGTATTTGGGTAAATTGTGTTATGCATTTTTCTCGTACGACTGTGGTCTTCCCCAAAGCACATAACCTAATGGCATTGCCACTGTAACTCTTTTTTTTTTTTTATTCAAATACTTTTTTCTTTTATTCTTCTATACTCTTTTTTTTTTATTCTTATGTTAATCCCCATACATTACATCATCAGTTTTAGATGTAGTGTTCCATGATTCATTGTTTGTGCATAACACCCAGTGCTCCATGCAGAACGTGCCCTCCTTAATACCCATCACCAGGCTAACCCATCCTCCCACCCCCTCCCCTCTAGAACCCTCAGTTTGTTTTTCAGAGTCCATCGTCTCTCATGGTTCGTCTACCCCTCCGATTTCCCCCGCTTCATTCTTCCCCTCCTGCTACCTTCTTCTTCTTCTTTTTTTTTTCTTAACATATATTGCATTATTTGTTTCAGAGGTACAGATCTGAGATTCAACAGTCTTGCACAATTCACAGCGCTTACCAGAGCACATACCCTCCCCAGTGTCTATCACCCAGTCACCCCATCCCTCCCACCCCACCCCCCACTCCAACAACACTCAGTTTGTTTCCTGCAATTAAGAATTCCTCATATCAGTGAGATCATATGATACATGTCTTTCTCTGTTTGACTTATTTCACTCCACATAATACCCTCCAGTTCCATCCAGTCGTTGCAAATGGCAAGATCTCATTCCTTTTGATGGCTGCATAATATTCCATTGTATATATATACCACATCTTCTTTATCCATTCATCTGTCGATGGACATCTTGGCTCTTTCCACAGTTTGGCTATTGAGGCATTGCCACTGTAACTCATTGGCTGACTGATTCAATTATGTTTTCTCCACATCCATAAATTGCATAGAATGCTTATTATGTATGTAGAATTCTGGTTCCCCTGAAAAGTCATTGCTGCCATTTATTTTTATTGCTGGATCTGTTTCCACAAACTTGAGCTTACAAGAGTGCAGATGCTTTATTCTCTGCAAATACTAAGTTGTTTTCGAAGAGTTTTGTTTGTAGTTATGGTTCTGAAAATCTGCATACTAAGACTCCCTTGGCAACAAAATTAGGACTCAACTTCATGTTAACATTTTTTTTTTTAAGATTTCATCTATTTATTTGAGAGAGAGAGTACAAGCTGGGGAGAGAGGCAGAGGGAATGGGAGAAGCAGACTCTCCGCTGAGCAGGGAGCCCGATGTGGGGCTCGATCCCAGGACCCTGGGATCGTGACCTGAGCCGAAGGCAG